AAGCCGATGAAGCGGGCATAAAAAACAATCCTGGGAACTAATGTGAAACTGAATTACAACAAACCACTGAAGAAACAACGCATTCTATGAGAAAAACCACAGCCTGCGGCAATTAATGCACTGCACAATCAAAATTCATCAAGTGAATCTGCTCTTGCAAAATCCCCAACTAACACGAACGTAAATTGTCGCTGCTTTTAGAAGATCGAAACGATCATCTAATCTTTTCTTTCCTGGGTTTCAGTCAAAATGTGAAATAAAAATGTTCGTATCGTTTATTTCACATAATATGAAATAAACGATATGAACATTTTTATTTCACATTTTGACTGAAACCCTGGAAAGAAAAAATATAATAACACTTTTCGTATTTACTTATACAACGTTTGGAAGAATTCCTCTAATTCTTTCTCGTAAGTCATAAATTGGCAATTAAAAACTTTCCGGTCGAATTAGCATCTAGGCCCTATGACAGCGCTCGCCTATGCTTGCACGTGGAGAATCAGGCCTACTATACGGGAAATCGTCGGTTATATGGCAATAAATGATCTTAAAAATGCAATGTATAACAAAAACCCGGAAAACTCGCAAGCTTTAAGCAACGGCCGGGAAAGACTTTGTTTGATTCTGACTAAAACCCAGGAAAGAAAAAATCAATTTTTTAGAACATTTGCAGCATTCTGCATTCAATTTGACTAAATTTGAACACTGAATTTTAGCAAAAGCTTCGAACTAAACGAACCGAAACCAAACATGAACGAAGCATGGGCCAGAACGGTGGACTTACCGGGCCTCGAAGACAACATTTCGCCCTCCAACAACATCGAGGTTCTATACGGATTGGTCGTAAACGAGGCAAGCAAACCCGCAAGTTGAAACTATCGCCCCCCAATCTACTCTCGGTTTCTTTGCAGTTTTCGATGGTGTTTTCCAAATCGAGCGACAGCACTGATCGGCAGTACTTGATGTTGCGACTGGGGCAATTCTCCATGGATATCGCGTTCATGACGTTTGGGCCGGCTTACCAAGTTTCCTTGCACAGTGTGCTGCTTACCGATAAGATGCACACCACTTCAAGCGGGCAGTACTTGGACCTGATTTTCACTCCTTTGCCCAACAACTCTGATGTGGTTACAGTGCTTTATCGCAAAGTACGTAGGTGTTGACCTCAAACGCAGCTTTCACAGATCACTTGAATGTTTGCAGGTGAACGCAAAATGCCCAGAATTCTGGAGCCACTTCCACGGAGTGGAAACATCGCTGGTGGCCAACATCGGCACCTTGCACCTTCTGGTTCATCAGGAAGCCATTCACACGTTCATCAAGTACTCAAAATACCTCTCAAACAAGTGAGGAGAAGCCGACTGATCAATCGGGCGGAAACTCAAAAAACTCTCTTCCAGAATAAAGCACCAAGCGTCCCAGTATCTGAAGAACCTGGTGAGGAGGTTTATTGCCAGCATAAACTCCACCCTGCACAAGCCTTCAGACGTGCCAGTTCCACCGGGTTCAGTGAAATTCTCCCAATCCGCCAGAATGAGCGACCTGAACGTGGTGGTTTGCGACTCCGACTTCGACATCATCAACATCCACTTATCCGGGTTGGAGCTGGATTTTCTGTTCCGCGCCAATGAGAGATTCGTGTTCAGGAGCTACTTGGGCAGCATCAATGTGGACCACTTGAGCCAAGTTACGATGTACTCCAAAGTAAGAACAACCAAGTTTCGGGCAGAAGCTCTGTTTAAAGCGCGGCTTTTCTGTAGGTGCTCTACACCGATGAGGACAAAGTCTTCGAGGTGAAATATGTGCGCAATGCGGCCCATTTGAAGAACAGCGAAGTCCTAGACAGACAGTATGAAGATGCTCATGATGGAAGCTTCAAGTTCCAGCTGGGGCGGATTCATTTCATTTTCTTGTACAAGCTGATGGTGCAACTGCAGGTGCACACAGGTTTTTGACGAAAATTTCGAAAATCTCCCAACTCGCCCGTTTCTAGCGCTTCATCATCAACCTGGAGGTGTTGGAGTATTTGGAAAGCTACCTCCAATTGACAAGGAAAGCCGTTAGAGTGGCAACGGACACTTTGAAGAACAAAACGAAAATCAGCCTATCGATTAACGTGTTCGGGCCAGTGTTTTTGCTGCCTCAAAAGTCCTCCTCGCCCAACGTCCTGGTCGTAGACACTGGTAGGTTTCACTTAAGATTCATCCCGAAAACTTCCGGTACATAAAGGACAATTCCAGGCAACTTGAGGATAGAGAACTTCTTCAAGGAGTCCGAAACTGGAGTGGTGGAGGACATCCTGGCTAAACTCAAGGAGGTTGTAGTGACCAGAGGAGTGATGTCGTTGACTTCCACTCTGGAAATGCAGGTGGGGACTTTCAGGGTTTATGTGGCTGGGGGGTTGCTTAGAACGGCGATTTTGCAGGAAACCCTCGTGGAACCGATCTGCATCAACATGGACATCAAGAAGTACACCAACGCCAAAACGTTGCAGAAAAACTGGGAAATTGGCGCGATTCTGGAAAAAATCGAACTCACTTTGGGCCAGAAGGACTTGGCCATGCTCATGGCCATCTATAGCGACAACATCGGAGAAGCCAAACTCGTGGACTTGCTACCAGAGGAAATCCGGTAAGCCACCAAACGGTTCTTAGCGGTGTAATTTAGCTGTCGCTTCCAGATCGCCGATTTCCGACACACTCGACCAAGACGACAACGTGAGGGAACTGGAAGCGTTCTTCAGCGAACCGAAGCAGAAGTTCGTGACGGGAAAATGCAGGATCGAAGAAGTGACTTCAACGGCATTTTCAAGCGGTTCAAACCCCTTAAACTTGCGATTTCCAGGTGAAACTCGTGCTGTTCTTCGACGCTGGTGAACTTCTCAGTTCGCCAATTCGAGACTTAAACCATGGGCTCTGCAAGCTGGAGATCAACGACATCGACACCTCAGTGGTGGTTTACACTGATAAGAGCTCAGACGGAAAACTCTCCATTGACACGATCCTAGTGGAGGAAATCGGGCCTGATGCCAACAAGCACAGCAAAACGTAAAAATGTTCAACCTGCTCTTCAACCCTCCAATCCAGCCATTTTTTCAGAGTGTTGAGTTCGCCGGCAGAAGACGGCCGGAACAACAACATCTGCAACATCACCGTCAACAAGCCCCCGATAGTGGACGTGAATTTCCATCAAACGAAGAACGGAGATCAATCGGCTGATGTTATAGTGGGCCGGCTCTGCCTCTCCCTATCGGTGCCATTTTGCGAAAAGGTTTGCATTCTGGCTCCAGCAGCCACTTCTCCTTCAGCCGAACCAAACCTTCCAGGTTGCCTTGTACGTGCTGGAATGCATCCCAAGAGAAATCAACGAACTGGGAATCGTCAACGCTGGATACGAAGGCGAAACGAGGAGATTTGACGAGAAGCGACGCCTGCAAAACAGCCTCACTATTTCAGTGAGAGTGAACAAGCCGGAGCTGATGTTTCTGGTTGAGACCACGTCCAACAAGAAAAGGTCCCAAGCGGGTCTTTGAGACAACATCGCAAACTCAATTTTCATACCTGCAGATATTTCATCACCAAGAGCGAGATTCTGGTGGACTTTTCCCGACACTGTAACCGCCTCAACTTGGTTACATCCCTCTCGGGGTTGCACAGTTTATTCTACGACCTGAGCGAGTACTCAGACCAGCCCTATGTAGTGCTGAAGCAGTGCGACATTGAGCTGGCGAGGAACGTGGAGGAACACTCGGAAAAAATCGTTCTGAGCATTTCTGGAATGTACGTCAAGCTCTGTTCTGAGGTAAATTGTCTGCGCAATAAGCAGGCGGATGTTCAGGGAGGTTCCGTAGGTCGTCCACTCGGTGAACGACATCTTGAACGACATAGTGGAGCACTTTAAGGTGCCCGAGATGGAACTGGAGCGGAAATGGCAGCGGAAATGCAGCACTGTTGAGGCTGCGCCTGAAGAGCTGTGGGAGCCCAAGAAAATGCCCCCATATACCACTAAGGTACCCCCCCTGGTTTAATCCCAGTTCAGTTCCCCCAACACTTCACTCTCTAGGCGAATTCCGCAAATCTACCAACCCACGCCTGCAGCCAGAGCCTCACGGTACCCAAGTTTGAGGTGGTTCTGATCTTCGAGCTGGATCAGATTCAGGTTCTCCTCCTCAAGTCCTCCATGGAGCTTCAGCTGCAGAATTGGAACCACCTGGTCAACAGCACCGGAACTGTTTCCCTCCAGGCCAACTATTTCAATGAAAGCGCACAGTGTTGGGAGCCGGTGATCGACCCCGTTATGCTAGAGGAGATGGAGTATCGAGGCTGGGAATGCAAAATAACTGTTTTCCAAGTGAGGCTTTGATTGCTCCATTTGCCTTTGATTATTAGCGGCTATTTGCGCTCCCAAAGGACAAACCACTGCAAATCAACGACCCGGAGGAAAAGCTGGAAAAGGTGCAACAGCGCAAAAAACCGCCTCCAAACCAGTCGAGAGCTCAGAAGGCCTCCCGGTCCTACACGACTACTGAAAGCGAGGACTCTGGCGAAGATATGGCCTACTTGGAGCCGATGAACTCGCTGAACCTCAACATTAATCGGCGAGTCAAAACCAGCTTGAGCGCCTTCTTGGACGACTCAGACAGCGAAAGTGAGGAGGGAGCTATGGAGAAACTGGCCGCCGCTATTTCGGACCTCTTTACAGGTTGACATGGTAAGCGAGGAAGTTTAGGTGATATTGAACTAGATGGGGTGGCAGGTGATTGGAATGAGCATGAGGACAGCGAGTGCCAACATTCGAGCGAAGATGAAAACGAAGCTTTGGAGAGTTCAAGGCCGAAAAAGGCGAATCCAGAGGCGACTTTTGGAAAGTGCCTTTACGTCATTCTGAACTCACGGGACACGCTCAATGTTACTGTGACTCCCACTTTCATGAAGGTAAAAAAAGATTTATTGCTTCACATTTACTAAATTCGTTCCAAAAATACATACATATACAGGGTGTTTAGGTCTAAGGCAGGGAAGTGATGTTTGACTGGATTTGGTTGGGGACAGTCTGTATTATAAGTGGCAAATGTTTCGATTTTGGGTCATCATCAGGCAATTTTCA